CGCGGGCTCAGGCAATCCACTCACCTCAGCCTCCCAAAGGCGCAGGATAACAGGCTGAGCTACCAAGCCCGGCTATAAAACAAGATGAAGTGGACAAACAGGTCTATCTTAAGAGAAGTTACAATTCTTCACTAATATACAAAATAATGCCCATAATTTGTGTTCTACTATTTATTAAAGATACAAACTAATAAAGCTCTAGATTAAAGCTGGACACGATGGCTCATGCCTGTAATCCCAGTACTTTGGGAGAAAAAAGAGAGAGGACTGCCTGAGCCTAGGGGTTGGAGATCAGTGAAGGCGACTTGGCAAGACCTTGTCTCTACAATAAATCAAGAAAAATTAGCCAGGCATGGTGGTGTGGGTCTGTAGTTCCAGCTACTTGGAAGGATGGCCTGAGCCCAGCAGTTCAAGGCTGTAGTAGTTGTGAGCATATCACTGCACTCCAGTCTAGGTGACAGAGTGACTCTGACTCCAAAAAACAAACAAACACACAAACACAAAAAACCAACTAGAGTATACAAAAATATTGAACTGACTTGTATTTAAAAATAATACATGGCTGGGTTTGGTGGCTCATGCCTATAATCCTAGCACTTTGGGAGGCCGAGGTGAGAGGATTGCCTGAGCCCACAGGTTTGAAACGAGCCTGGACAAATTGGCAAGACCTCATCTCAACAACAAATCAAGAAAAACTAGCTGGGCATGATGGCGCTTGCCTGTGGTTCCAGTTACTTGGGAGGCTGAGGTAGAAAGATCACCTGAGCCCAGTAGGTCGTGGCTGCAGTGACCATGAGTGTGCCCACCGCACTCCAGTCTTGGCAACAGAGTGAGACTCCCACTCAAATAAACAAACAAAATTTATAATCCACATATTAAAAACATGTTTTTAAGTTCTTATAATCAGTTTCTTATACAGGTTAAATACAGCTTCAATAATTTTTTTTTGAGTTGGAGTCTCACTCTGTCACCCAGACTGGAGTGCAGTGGCCGCTCCTGGCCACCGCAGCCTCGACCTGCTGGGCTCTGGCAATCCTTCCGCCTCAGCCTTCCATGTAGCTGGAACTACAGGCGCGTGCTACCATGCCCAGCTAATTTTTTGATTTATTGTAGAGATGAGGTCTCGCCTGCCCAGGTGGGTCTCACAATAATCTTATATAAGTGATATATTATGTGACGAGAAGAGCATTTTTAAAAGTTTCCACGAGATAGTTTACCTGAATAAGTGTTGTTTTATCATAGTCCATGCGATGCTGATAAATACATTGGCTGATTACTGCATACAAATTTTCCAACTGGAATATATTGTATTCTTGACTTTTTTTAACAACAGTCCTCAAAAGATTCTGAAAGAAAATATGAGAGTTTACATATGTGAGAGAGAGCATTACATGAGACAAGAGAGGTAATTCTGAAGATTCTGGGAACTGCTAGACCAGAAGCCAGAGGGAGGGCAGACCAAGGCATCTGGTGGCACAGGGTAGCCTCTGGTAGTGGCTCTGACATCTCCATGTTGTTGACACCATCTGCAGCCCAGCCTCAGCCTTGGTGGCTCCTCCTCTAAAAACTGCAGCTGAGGAGGTTGGCAATGTCAGCTAGCCATAACCAGCGACCATCACTTAACCTCAGATGAGATTAGCAGGAAAAAAGGCAATGGTTTTTGCAGGTGACGTCATGGCACTAAAAGTACATTTTAATTAGTGCCATTACGTGAGACTAAAACAGATACTACCTAAATGGCAACCTGCCTCACCATTTCTGGGTTATTCATATCAAAAGGATTTTCCACCTGTGAAGGGTTTTTCAATGGCTGAAATGGGGGATTTGCTGGGTTTCTGTGACTCTCCACGTCTGGCTCTACCAGGAGAGGCCGCTTCCCCACAATTAACACAAACACACCATCACAGCCAAGTAAAGACCAACTAAAGTGGTCACAGGTGTCAGTCATAAAACACTGCATGGCGCTCATGAACTAGACCAATGTTATAAGCTACACCCACATGTTAAACATCTCTAACTACAGCCTTCATGCAAACTATTTATTCTATATAGCAAGTTTATCCTCTTATAACAGGTCATTATTTACTGCATGCCTAATGGATATACCGCTCTATTCCCAGTCCCTCTTGTGGTGGGTTATATAACCAGAAAAAGTACAAATTGAGTGAGCCTCAGTAAATGGTTTTCTATAATTAGGTCTAATGACATAAATGGATACCTAGCAAAATAAGTCGGTAAAAATTGATTAAGCAATTAAATAGAGTAACAACTGCTACCCTTAACCCAAACAACATGAAGAACTGTACAAAGTTCCGATTTCAGTAATACTATTTTCAGGGTCATGAGATTCATAAGGGCTTTTAGTTTCACACACATATTTTTTTTTTTGAGTTGGAGTCTCACTCTGTCACCCAGACTGGAGTGCAGTGGCCGCTCACGCCACCGCAGCCTCGAACTGCTGGGCTCCAGCGATCCTTTCACCTCAGGCTTCCACGTAGCTGGAACTACAGGCATGCGCTACTACGCCTGGCTAATTTTTTTTAGATTTATTGTAGAGATGAGGTCTTGCCTGCACAGGCGGGTCTCAAACCCACGGACTCAGGCAGTCCACTCACCTCAGCCTCCCAAAGGCGTGGAATTACAGGCTGAGCCACCGAGCCCGGCCCACATATATTTTTAACGAGATTTTTCAGGAAGACTCAAGTTTTTCTTTAGAGGAACTGCTCCAGAAATAGTGCTGCTTCCTTCTCTAAGATGACATCAAGTTCTTATTGGCTCTGCTACATTAACAAGCAAGGTTTTCCTGAGTATACGGCTACTAGCAGGTTCACTTACACAGAGCAGATTTCTCTGCACAAATGCTAAAACCCCTATCTATATTACAAATAACTTATCATTGATAAATGCATATAGTTCTCTCTAAAAAAAAATCTCAGTGTTCTCAGACTTGAAATGTGGCCAAGATAAAACAAGTAAATTGGAATTGAGATGCAATTTTTTTTAACCTTTGAAGGAGAGAAGGGCAAGAACCCAATTTTATTTCAGATATGTTAAGGAAACTTCAACATATCCAAGTTGTTAGTTGGAGAGACATGACTGTTATTTAGGGTTATCAGAGTGTGAAGAATTCCAGATGTTGGATCACCTTTACAGAGGTAATGGCTATTTTAAGAGTATGAAAGAGGGACAAGGGAGAGGGAAAGTGCACAAATGGCCAATAAAAACCCTGAGGAGCTTACAAAAATAGATGAAGCAAGAGTGGTTTAAGGATGCAATAGTCAAGGAAGGAGAGTTATCCACAGTGTCACATGCTACAGGCAGGAAGAATTCAATTTAACAACGGCAGGTATTGTAAGCTGTTAGGATGTCATTTTGTTAGCGTGGCTAGGATGAAAACCTGATTAAGTAGATTGAGTAGGAAAAAGAATGAGCAAGAGGCAACCCGGAAGCACATAAGACTGACGTGGCCATTTCCCCTGTGGTTTCTACCACAGACCCTCGTATGTAATTCCCGGTTGGGAAAGGGGAAGGAGAAGAGCAGTCGAGGATGCTGGGAAGAAGGAAAGTTCCAGCTTCCCGTGCAGCTCCTGTGTAGCCAGGCTGCCACCGGTCCACAACTCCATGCCTGGGGACTGCAGGAGATCTCAACGGACATACTTTGAATCGCTCGTGGTCTACAACAAGTGAGGGCGTGGGCTGAGAGAGAATCATGAGAGCCTTTTCGACACTGATGAGCTGCTGCTGTTCTACTTGAGAACGTCTGGCTCGAGTCATCCGCAGGACACACCTTGCTAGAATGAAAAATTAAATGACTGTTATCTGGTACCACAGACATCCTAATGCCTAAAGTAAACACTAAGCAGGTTAAACATGTTCACTAAGGACACAAAACCAATTCTAGCTCATTAACTCTTTCTGTGATAAGAGTAAGACACTGCCACTCACACACCCGCACAAATTAAGGGCAGTTTGAGAAGTATTTCTCAAATTTAGCATTTCAGGGGGATCTTCAACAGATTACATCATTTTCCTCTTGGGCATAAGACTTGGAATTTAAAAGCTGGAAGGAGCCTGGGCACGGTGGCTCACGCTTACTATACCAGCATTTTGGGAGGCTGAGGTGAGAGCACTGCCCAAGCCCGCGGGTTCAAGATCAGTCTGGGCAATTTGGCAAGACCTCATCTCTACAATAAATCAAAAAATTAGCTGGGCATGGCGGCACGTGCCTGTAGTTCCAGCTACTTGGAAGGCTGAGGCAGAGGATGGCCTGAGCCCAGTAGGTTGAGGCTGCAATGCTCATGAGCATACCACTGTACTCCAGCCTGGGAGACAGAGTGAGACACCAACTCAACAACAACAAAAAAGCTGGAAGGGACCTCAATAATCTAAAATAGGAGTTGCAACCTACCACCCAGGGGAAACTGGCCTACTACCGTACATTCAATTTTATCAGAACACAGCCACTTCCACATCACCTAGTCTCAATGCAGTTTTCTCTGTAGGGCTGTGGAGCTGGGACAGAGACTGAGACTGTTAAGGTCACTGTCCAGCATAAAGTCTTTAACTACCCGGTAGGTGGTCCTTAAAAAACAGTCTGCTGGCTGGGCTCAGTGGCTCAGCCTGTAATCCCAGCACTATGGGAGGCCAAGGCGAGTGGATTGTCTCAGCCCGTGGGTTCGAGACCAGCCCAGGCAAGTTGGTGAGACCTCGTCTCTACGATAAACCAAAAATTAGCCAGGAGTGATTACACACATCTGTGGTTGTGGCTACTTGATAGGTTGAGGCAGACAGATTGCCAGAGCCCAGCAGGTTGACGCTGGGGTGGCCATGAATATGCCACTCCACCCTGGGTGAAGAGTAAGACTCCAACTCAAAAAAAAAAAAAAAAGAAAAGAAAAGAAAAGAAATGTCTGCTGGTTTCCAGTCTAGAATAATGTACTCACTGAAAGCTGAGAAAAATGAACCCAAGAGAGGTAGAGACTTTTCTAAGGTCATATGTCTAACTGTTGTAAGAGCCAGGACAAGAACTCCCATCTCCTGATATCTGTGCAAGCACCTGTCCCACTGCCTTGCGTTCTTTTAAAAAAGATAACGATGCCGGGCTCGGTGGCTCAGCCTGTAATCCCACGCTTTGGGAGGCTGAGGTGAGTGAACTGCTGGAGCCCGCGGGTTTGTGACCCACCTGGGCAACTTGGCGAGACCTCATCTCTACAATAAATCAAAATGAGCTGGGCGTGGTAGCGCAAGCCTGTAGTTCCAGCTACTTGGAAGGCTGAGGCGAAAGGATCACCGGAGTTGAGCAGGTCAAGGCTGCGGTGGCCGGGAGCGGCCACTGCCCTCCAGTCTGGGTGACAGAGTGAGACTCCAACTCAAAAAAAAAAAAAAAAGGCTGGGCTCGGTGGCTCAGCCTGTAATCCCGCGCCTTTGGGAGGCTGGGGTGAGTGGATTGCCTGAGCCCGCGGGTTCAAGACCCACCTGGGCAGCAAGACCTCAACTCTACAATAAATCAAAAAATCAGCCAGGTGTGATAGCGCAGGCCTGTAATTCCAGCTACTTGGAAGGCTGAGGCGGAAGAATCGCCGGAGCCCAGCAGGTCGAGGCTGCGGTGGCCAGGACCGGCCACTGCACTCCAGTCTGGGCAACCGAGTGAGACTCCAATGCAAAAAAAAAAAAAAAAAAAGATAATGATATAAATAAAACTCTGATTAAAAACAAAACATTAAATTATACAACCTGGAGATTGATATTTATATCCTAATTGGAAAGGCCATATCATAGTCCATTATTGCTATGATTATTCAAATATACTCAGAACTCATTTAAGGAAGGCCTGGGATAGACTTATCTTCAGTGTATGAACACTGAAAAAAAAAACACTCTTATGAATTGAGACAGTACTTATTTTTGAGCAAAATGAATTTCTGATCCCATGATCCACCTTTTTGCTTTGTATGACTAAGTAATGTGTAGCTTTTCCAAAATCCAAACAAGTCTATGAGCAAAGCCTCAAGAAGATCCAGATGAAGAAAATTTTAAGTGAAAGATTTGGGAAGCAGGTTCACTGGGGTAATGTAAAAAATCTTGGACCTAACCTACAACAAGGGATGGAAAAATAATGGGTGGGTAAGATCTGCTCTGTATTCCTCAGCAAGAATCACAGAAAACTTATCGTGCTTAAAAATGAAAGCGTATCATGTGCTTTAGATGGGTTATTATATTCAATCCTCAAAATATCTCATTATTAAGCAACTATCTACTCCAGTTTTGCAGATGGGCAAACAGGCTGACACGTTATGTATCCTGCCTAAGGTCACAAGCTACTAAGTGGTGAACTGGAGGCTCAAATTCAGGTCTGTTTGATGCCAAAGTACATTCTTTTTTTTTGAGTCAGAGTCTCACTCTGTTACCCAAGCTGGAGTGCAGTGGCATACACATGCCACCACAGCTTCAACCTACTGGGCTCAGGTGATCCTTCTGCCTCAGTCTTCCAAGTAGCGGGAACTACAGACAAGCACCATCATGACTGGATAATTTTGTTATTTTACTGTAGAGACAAGGTCTCAACATATTGTCTGGGCTGGTCTCGAAACCTGGACTCAAGCAATCATCTTGCCTCAGCCTCCCAAAGTGCTGGGATTATAGGTGTGAGCCACCATGCTTGGCTTTTTTGTTGTTGTTGTTGGAGTCTCACTCTGTCACCCAGGCTAGAGTGCAGTGGCATGCTCATGGCCACCACAGCCTCAACCTGCTGGGCTCAGGCAACCCTTCTGCCTCAGTCTTTCAAGTAGCTGAAACCACAAGCACACACTACCATGTCTGGCTAATTTTTTGATTTATTGTAGAGATGAGGTCTCACCAAGCTGCCCAGGCTGGTCTCGAACCTGTGGGCTCAGGCAATGCTCTCACCTCGATCTCCCAAAGTGCTGGGATTACAGGCTTCAGCCACAGTGCCTGGCCAAAGCACATTCTTTTTTTTTTTTTTTGAGTTGGAGTCTCACTGTTTTGCCCAGGCTAGAGTGCAGTGGGACACTCCCGGTCACTGCAGCCTCGACCTGCTGGGCTAAGGCAATCCTCCCTCCTCAGCCTTCCAAGTAGCCAGAACTACAGGTGCACGCTACCACACCCAGCTCAAAGTACATTCTTAATAACAATGATTTATAAACTCAATAGTGAGTAAGGATAATGGTATTTTTTTTCCAATTAACTAACACCTGCACTCTGAAAGACAAGCAAGAAGCAGTAAATTGAGAGATAATTAGTTGTTTAGGAACTTTGAAGCACCTTTTAAAACTAGTAAGTTGGGCTGGGCACAGTGGCCCAAGCCTGCAATCCCAGCACTTTGGGAGGCCAAGGTGAGAGGACTGCCTGAGCTCAGGGGTTCGAGACCAGCCTGGGCAACTTGGTGAGAAGCCTCTACAATAAATTAAAAAATAAGCTGGGCATGGTAGTGCGTGCTTGTAGTTCCAGTGGAAGGCTGAGGCAGAAGAATCGCCTGAGCGCAGTAGGTCGAGGCTGCGATGGCCGTAAGCATGCCACTGCACTCCAGCCTGGGTGACAGGAGTGAGACTGACTAAAAAAATAAAATAAAATTAGTAAGTTGCTTTTTTAATCGACAAAGACTTACCTTTTGCTCCGTTTTCGTCTGCAGCATCTATTATCTGGGCACTAGAAGCATCTCGATTGCAAATGGCCTCTGCGTTCCCCAGTTCTGCACATGCCTGAGCGTTCTGAGAGTCTTCCAGCTCCTCCTCCTCCACACAGCAAGTCCTCAGATTGTTATTCCCTGACTCTAGTTTGCTTTCGGAGGAGTTCTGCTGCTTCTCACTTTCTTCCACTGAAGACTCTCCTGTGTTTCCAGTCTCATGATCGACACTTGTGTCTTGAGCTTCCTCTGTGTCGCTCTCCATTTTGTCATCTGTGGCATTCTGGCCATCATCCTTTGCATGGGAGACCTTCCTTCGCTTCTTTATGGTGCCTAAGTACCATCTCGACTTTTTGCGAATTCTTCTCTTCAACTGAGCTTCAGGGAATTTAAAGAGAAATAATGAAAGAAAATTATTCTTTATAACAATTTTCTAAGTTCTAAGAAAGAGTGGAGAAAAAAAACCCTGATATACGAACCTACAGTGGTACTGTAAGGTAGGAATATATAAACATGAGTAGAGGCCAAGTGTGGTGACTCATGCCTATAATCCCAGCACTTTGGGAACAAGGCCGGAGGATTGCTTGAACCCAGGAGTCAGAGACCAGCCTGGACAACCTAGCAAGACTTCATCTCTACAAAAAAAAATAAATAAATAAAATAATTAGCCGGGTACGGTGGTGTATACCTGTAGTCCCAGCTACTTGGGAGGCTGAAGTGGAAAGATCACCTGAGTCCAGAAGGTCAAGTCTGCAGTGACCCATAATTGTGCTACTGCACCAGCCTGGTGACAGTAAGACCTTGACTCAAAAAATAAAAAGAGTAGAGAGTACCGTGAGAAGGCGTAGGAGTGGGCAAGGCCCAAATCACAAAATGGTAAGGAGCTGGAACTTTGCCTTGAATAATCTCAAGGAGGATAATGGCGGGTAATCAGTCTGATGCATATTTCAAAAAGATCACCTCAGCAGCAGAATGAAAAACGAAGAAGGGCAAGACTTAAAACAGCCCATGCTTAGCGTTTGTTACGCTCTCTTGCTGTGCTGTCTGAGATGAAGGGCAGCGGCTATCCACAAGCACCTTCATGGTGCACCACAGCCTTCAACTCCTGGGCTCAAGCAATCCTCCTGCAGCAGTGTCCTGAGTAGCTGG